TTGTCCCGCGGTTTGACATCACCATTGACAGAGTTGCCAGTGCGTCGCAAACTACCGTCTGAGAGAAAGCTGTCGTTGCCAGAGTAGCTCGCGACTTCACCTTCCCGAAAACTCGATGGAACGTTGCCCCAAACGTCTGTATGGACAGACTTTTGCCGGGTGCCTTCGACCACTACAGCAGCAGCACCCAGATTCGCAGTCGAACGGTCGGACGTAGGGTGATCCAACTTGACGGGGAGACTTGCCACGGCGGCGGAAGACTCGGTCGTAGGGGGAGGGGGATTGTTTGAGTATGGATTGTACTGGGTAGATTGCGCAGTAGTTGTGGGTTGCTTGTACGACTCTTCGTCGTCGTCATCTTCTTCATTCTGTCTCGTCATGCGCAAGACGAGGAGGGCGACAACACCAATGACAATTGCCGCCCCAACGCCGATGCCTGCGTACATGATCCATCCAGTTCCAGTGCCAGAGTCTGGAGTCGTCACAGGTTGCGTTGTGGTGTTTTCTAACGCTGAGGTGGCAACTGGAGTAGTAGTGGGAGTGGGCTTTGCAGTGGCCTTTGTCGTTGTTGGGGCCAACGACGTTGTGTTGGTGACTTTGGACGTAGTAGGACTTAATGTGGTTTTGCTGGGTTTTGCCGTGGTGGTCGGCGCATCTGTAGTTTCGACTGGAGGTTCTTCAGGGTCGTCGGGGTCCGTCCAAGGCTTATCGCATTTCTGGTCGCCAATACCGAGGACCGAGCAAAAGCTAAAAGTCGGGGCCGTGCATCGCACAGTTTTCCCGCCGTCGCTAAAAGACATGCAGACGGGGCACTTTTCAAACTTTCGGTCGCAGGTCGCTTCGTTGTCTTTTGTGCAAAACCTCGACAGGCATACATCCGTCGCTGCTGGGGACGCACCTGCAATGAAAGCACTTCAGAGCAGTGCTCTTGATGAGAATTCGTACATGTCATGGTTACCACGGTCGCCGCCATCGCCATCACACCGGCGTGCTTCATGGTGGTGGATGGAGGAGAGAAATTGGGTTTGGACTAGCGAGTGTCAAACGGAGGAAGCCAGTGTGGTAAAAACTTCCAATTTTCACGACCAATTGCATACAAACCGCAAGATTGAAATCGTTACGTAGTTCCAGTGGAATACACAAAAATATGAAGGATAAAAGGCAAAAATAAAAACGATTTCTCCAAACAACGTTGCGACGTCAACACCGACTTAGGATTGCCACTTCCGCCGACGTGTGGCGTGAATTGGGCGATTTGTTGCACAGGTAGCTCACCACCTACTACCAATCTCCTCCTATTCTACTTTGTTGGGCTGGTCGCAAATGAACCGTTGTTTCAATGGGTTGATATTAATTGCATTCATGCCAGCCGAGTGCTTGTAAGGCATCCCCAACTGTGTAGAGAGAACCCGTGACGAGAACTCGGTCGCCCGCTGAAGCATTTCCACGTATCCACTCAACGGCGTGCGTCATGGTCGACACCACCACGGGAGTCGAGTCTTGTCTCCGCGAAGCTTTCAATCGCGACCAAACAGTCGCACACACGGATTGCCACGTCAAATCAACACGAAGTGGCGACGAATTTGTCTTCAGTTGAGGATGTTGCTCGCCGCGCAGGTCGATCGTTGCCGTCTTAAGCACGTCTTCCACTGTGGGTATCTACCCATACGATCAGCGTCTTTTCGAAGCATACAATGCGCGTACCCTACAATTACTTTGACGGGCACATTTCGTCGCACAAAAGACAACATTATCAAATCGAGCGGCAAGCAATGGTTGGAAAAGCGAGACGATGTCTCGCTCGTGATGGCAGTTGAAGATGAGGGTCGTTCGCTTCGATGGATCGTCGCAGCAGCTTTCAAACCATGCCACGCAGCACGACACGCTCAATGGCGTGTGCGCACCATCCAGGTGGAAGATAGCTCCAGACACAGAGTCCACTATGTTCTGTGCCCGACCTGGCCAAGACGTGGCTTGAAGCCCTTTCAAGACTATGGGAGTTATCGCTTCGTTCAGCGGTGGAATCGGCTTGCCGGCTTTTACAGCTAGCCACGTGGATGACAACGCCACCGCCAGGCTCGCATTGATATGTTGATATTGCCCTAACGACACATGTTCAATAGATTACGAGAAGAATATGTATGGGGAATGTACCTTGCAACATGAACTTTGTCGCTTGAACAGGGAGGTTGAACGAAGTCAATGGTGGCACCACAACCAACGGGCTTGGCTCAGCTGCCGCACAGGCGGCCAGAGCTTGTGCCGCCTCTGGCGCCTGAGCAATCGTAAAGACTGGTACGCCTGCTTTGATGATGCCCGCTTTCTAAGGATTCGAATGTAGAGCAGTCTGTAGGGGGAATCACCATCCAACCTCTCGTGCGATCTTGTCGAGTGTGCTCCCGAGAATGCGCGTATGGTCGTAGTCCAAGGCCGTGATGCCGCACACAACGGGCTTTTCAATCACATTCGTTGCATCCAAACGACCTCCTAGTCCGACTTCCAAGATTGCCACATCGACTCGCTCGTCCACGAACATTCGCAGAGCCATTAGCGTGAGCATGGTGAAATAGTTTGGAATGCGAGGGTAGGATCCCAGGTCGTTCTAGATGGTCGACTTAGTTGTTGCATCAGAATAGTATCAAGACATGTACCTTCGAAGCTTCCAGTGCATCCCAGAGGGTCCAAAAGGTGTCGACAAAGAGATCGTCCGATACCGGTGTGCCATTAATGCGAAACCGTTCGTTGGGATGGATGAGATGTGGTGAAGTGAATAGACCAGTCCTCGACCCGTGAGCGCGCAAAATGCTCTCGGTGAATGCACACGTCGACCCTTTTCCCTTGGTACCAGCCACATGCACAACCGACAGAGTCGACGCATCAACTTGTGTCCGTTTCATGTAGTGTCGCATCATGGCATTGGCAGTGTCGCGCGTCCACGCGCCCGCTGCCGGTACGATGTTGCCCGGGCTGTTGGGCATGCTGAGGAGAATCTTCATGGTGCCGTCGATACCACTTTGACGGAATGCCGCGATGTCGGCGGACGTGTACTCTTCCAGCCGTGGCATGTCGAATGAAAAGGTGAAAAATGATGCATTCAACAACATTCGCTCTGCCCATTGGCTACATTTTAGCCAATCAATCGTAGTGATCTAATCATACTGCTATCAGGATTTTGATTGGTGCAATGGGCCGTCATTGACTTTGATTGGGCTTGTGACGTGGCATTCCGAGCGGCCACTGCGATGGTCGGTCATTCTAATCATGGCCATTCATCAAGATATGCTCCATGTATGGTACACTGCAGTCAAGTCGATTACTCAGTCCAGTTGAGGGCACTCAGCGTGTCCCCCACGTTATACAACGACCCTGTGACTAGCACTTTCGTGTTGGGTGGGGCATTCGCTCGAATCCACTCGAGCGTCGCTTCCACCGACGTAAACAGTGAGGTCTTCGTCACTTGATCGTGCAGCTGATTCAGAATCGCCCAAGTCTTTTCGCAAACGTGTTGCCAGTGCATGCGATCCTCGCGCGGAGGGAACGTGTCTGTGTTGAACGCGTCAGCTGGCAAGCCAGAAATGTCGAGGTTGGCCTTGAGGAGCGCTTCCTGAACACTTGGAATCTACGAAAGAGGTCGGGAGGACGTCACATGATCGCTCATATCGCGTACCTTGACGATACTAGGACGGCAAGATCGCGACGGGCAAAACACGACATGGTCGAAACGAAGTGCAAGCAGTGGAAGAAACAATTTGACGACGTCGCGTTCGTGGTGGCAGTTGAAGATTAACACGCGGTTGTCCGTGAGTGTCGCTTGACAACACGACTCAAACCATTGCGCACAGCACTCAATGCTGAGAGGGGTATGCGCACCGTCCAGGTGAAACACCGTCGGCGACAGAGGATCCACCATGGTTTGCGACCGCCCTGGCCAGAAAGCCAGCTTTAGGCCTTGCAACACTGTAGGCGTGATCATGCCGTCGAACGGCGGCAGGGGGGCTCCATGCCTGGCAGAGAGCCACGTCGACGCTAGTACAACAGCAAGAGCAGCATTTACGTGCTGGTATTGTCCTACACCAAGCTGTAAGTTTGTGAACTGTAAACAAATTGAATGCACCGTGCATTCCCAACGAATGATTGAGGTCGTGAGTCGAAATGTTAAACTCGGAGAGTGGAGGAACCACCACCAACGAAGCTTCACGCTCGTCAGCGCATTTGACCAGCATTTGGGCGGCCAGCACTGGCTGGGCAACCGTGTACACCGGCACGTTGGCTTTCATAATGCCAGCTTTCTATACACACCAAAGTGGTAGTGAGACTGGTACCGCGGCAAGTTCAATTCACCTCACGCGCAATTTTGTCGATGGTGCCGCCCAAAACTCGGGTGTGGTCCAAGTCCAACGTCGTGATGCCACATACGACGGGGTGTTTAATAACATTCGTCGCATCCAAGCGGCCGCCAAGACCCACTTCCAAGATTACAACGTCAACACCTTCTTCTTGGAACATTCGCAGTGCCATCAGCGTAAAAAAACGGAAGAAGTTTGCCATAGGAGGGAAAATGCCCGCCTCGCTCTGAAGTAACAACGACTGAAATGAGAACGCATGCACTTTCCTGGACTGTCGTACCGTTGTTGCAGTGAGACCATCCCAAATAGCCCAAAAATTGGACAAGAAGAGAGCTTCACTGATAGGTTTGCCGTTGATGCGGAATCGCTCAGTCGAATGGATTAAGTGCGGAGAAGTAAACATTCCCGTCTTCGCCCCATGCGCTCGCAGAATACTCTCAGTAAATGCGCACGTCGACCCTTTACCTTTTGTGCCCGCAACATGCACGATGGACAATCGTGACGTGTCCATGTGGAGGCGCTTGAGATACGACTCCATCATTTCCACGGCAAGTTCCCGTGAGTCTCCCGGGCCAGTGTAGGACGGTCGTCCTGGCATGCCAAGGAGAATATCCATGGCGCCATCGATCCCCAGGGACCGATAGTGGGCGACTTCATCTCTCGTGTAGTCGCGCACATTGGCGCCGTGGGGTCCCCCTGTCATGCGTTGCCGTGGATTCCAAGTGACCACCCAGATTTTCCAGCCGTCGTGCTTCATCCAATGGGGGAACAGGTGTTTCTACGACGACTCTGATTGGTCCATCCGATATTCTACGGTTTTGATTGGGCATTGAAACGGCACGAATGCACATTGGTCACATGAGGTGTCAGCGCGAGTTGAATGAGACCTGGGAGGCCATGACATCGAGAATGGTCCCATCAGTGTGGGTTTGAGCGAGGAACGACAGCAGCCGAGGAGAAAAAGAACCGTGTTATTCGCGCGGAACGTAGGATGAAGAAGATGGGGGAGTTGCTGTCGGATGGTGTGTGTCCACTGGGTAAGTTACTAGTACATTGAAAGCCGAAATGCAATGTGCAACGAAGTGCTGGATAACTTCAAATAAAATCGCGACTATTAGGCGGAATGGGCATTGTTGCGCGAGAAAGCGATCTTCAATTTCTTGTCGGCAAACTCCGAGTTATGCGCAGCTGCAAGCATGTTGGTGGCGCTCTCGATGGATGGAAACTACAGCAATCGAAAGCTGTGACGTTGCAAACATCACAGTCGAGTCACGTACCTCGGCCAGCAATTGCGGATGGCCTTTGGCGTTTTCAAACACTTTCAACTTGACGCGGTCCATGCGTCCGAATTGACGCAAGTGCTCGGTCAAGTCCTGTTGTATAATGTCAACGACTCCCCTTTCGTCTCCGGATCAACTCACCTCTATCTCAAATCCTTCGACAAGGTTTGAAATGTGGATCACTTTCGTGGGACTGTAAACATGCTTGGTGTAGTTGGCAAATTTCCCCGTGAAGCGGTTCACGGACAGAGAGTATTCCTTCGCCGTCACGCTATCGTCTCTAATCATATGCACTTTCGTGAGCTTACTGTATGCTGACATGCATATTCAAGTGGGCTTCGTACTCCTCGTCATCGTCCGCGGAACCGGCCCGGGATGCGGCAATGATGTAGCGGTGCTTGGAGAAGCGGATTTCAAGCGATCTGCCTTCGAAGACGAACCCACGGAGATGGGTCAGCGCTGACTCAGATGACGCCTCGTTCACAAACTGAATCAAGGCGTGGTCCTAATGGAATGCATTTGGGTGGTGACCTCATGCCCAAGCCCGAAAGAAGTGGTTACCGTTTTCGAATGCAACTTTTTGACACGTGTGATGTTGCCATAACACGAAAACAAATTGAACAGTTGGTCGCATGACACGGTTTCCTTCAAATTGCACACGAGCAGCACCGGCGAAAAAGCATCCTGGCCATCGCCTGCGCCATGCAGCTTTTGCACGGTGTTAACTGAAACATTCCCATTCGGAGGGTTGAACGGCAAAGAGATCGTGGACTGCGGCGCGTTGATCGCAGTGTCCATCACAGGTACAGGTAAATTTGGGTTGGTGAAATCGCGGGTCTTGAGGCTGTTCTCCTTGACGGACAATTCCTACAGGATACCTCCGCGTTATCTTCAGGCGTGAATAGAGTCTCGTACCGAAAGATTAGAATAACTAATCACCATGAAGCAGCAGTCCGGGTAGATGGCCTCGCCGTCGAGCTTACTCTTGGCCGTCACAGCATCGGGGACGTGGACAAATTGCACCAAGCACTTTATGCGACCTGTCAGGTATTGCAGGTGTTCGCACGGAGAAACGTACCTGCAGCCCGACAGGTTTCATGAAGATGACGACTTTCTCAACTTGCCCGTACACGTTGAACACCTTACCAATCAAGTCCGTCGTGATGGGATACAACGGGTTTTGCACCGTCACCAACAAGATTCGATTCTGGGCTACGTCAACATGGTTGCGGGCGTTGTGCTTGTTATAGGTTCGCGGCTGATGTTGCTGGGGAACAGCGGGGGGTGTCGCAGCGCTGCCTTGGCCACGCAACTCCTGGTTCTTCGAGTACGAAATCGACACGGCCAGTCCAAACAGGACGGCAGGTTCGTCATTGCTCGCGTCATGGGCAGCAATGGCATCGTCCACGTTTGACATCTGGACGAGAGCATTTTGGGTGTTCTTGGAGTCGGTGGAAGGGGAGGTGTGAATGTATTTCTTGCGGAGGAGAATGACTTTGTCGACGTCGCCGTAATGTTCGAGAAATTGTTCAATGTCGGCGTTCGTCGCCTGAGGGGCCAAGTTTTCGAGAAAGAGCACACGGGAGGGTTCCTACAATGGGCAAAGTTTGCGATCGAGAGGATTTCGTGGTCGTACGGCGTGGGCTTGAGTTGACATGGCAAGGAGTCAGGAAGGAAGTTGCGCGAGGATGAAGTTGGCGAGTGGCTTCTTTGGACTGCTCTCTGGTAAAATTCCTCCCGAATTGAAAAATTTCACCACTCATAATACAAACTTCGAGTGTTAAAATCACTTTTCTGAAAAATTATCGAATTGTATATCGGTATTTTTTTGGGAGCGTTGCTCAATCCTACTTTCCACGTGTCAGAGTGCCATGTGGAGATGGATGGAGTCGTCGTTTTTCGAGGTCCAGTGTCGCCGTCTAAAATGCACAGGGATGAAATTTGCCTGCGTGACTGATCTCGAGAGGCCTCCAA